AATTATTAAAATAAAAAAATATTGAAATATTGAAACAATATATGAATAGAAGTAACGTAACATTTTTATCATACAGATGATTCTTATTTTTTCTAAAAAATTTATATATTAAATTATCATAAAATATAAATTATAATATAAATTATAATAATATATATATATATATATATATTATCATTATAATTTGTTTTATTAATAATTAATATTATGATTATATATATAATTATTATTAATTGATTATTAATGAATATAAAATGAAAATTTATATAATAAATTTATATAAATAAATAGATATGCATTTACAATTTATTATTTTAGGTAAATAAATAATATAATAATATAAAAAAAATTCTGTTTTATACATTAAATAAAAACAATTTTTTGTATATGTAACACTGACATTTTTCTTATTATAAAATAAATACAATACAATTTCTATTTAGAAATATAGAAAAATATCAGCTTCAAACCTTCAGAATCTTAATTTCTTTTCCAAGCAGATTCTGTGATTTCGCCAAACTTTTTTTCGTGATACTTTTGATTGCCACTACAAAATTTGGTTTCTAAAAAAAAAAAGAAATATATATAACTGTCACAATCAATATTTGAATGAATAATTTTTGGTAATTTTATCAGTGATCATATTTGTTTCCATGAAAAAAGAAGAAAAAACAGACTCACTTTACGATGTCTACCTCTGAAGACCACAGCGAATGCGCCGTGGCCTATCAGATCTTTCGTATTGTATTCGTAATCGCCGACAATTTCCATTCTTGATCGTAATTTTTCGGCGATCGAGGATTTTTCATCGATCTTCGACAAGCAAGGTCAACAGTTTATAAACATAGTACAGGCAAAGAAAATGCATTGCCTGCGGAGAGATCGATACGCGTTATAAGAAATTTTGCGCTCCGTAGAATTTTCGTATGGTATAGTTATTTTTCTGCAGCAATGCTTTTAGCAACACAAATAACATCGATCTACATTTTGTCCACTCTTATAAATCACATCGATCATTAACTCGTACCACGACACTGATGGTCGAGTATATCGAAAATACAAAACACAACGGAATACGCACTCAGTTCACAGTTACCTTCGCAAAATGTCAGACAATCGCGCACAGAGGTCGTGTTAATTCATAGGCATGTGACTATGCTATCAGGTGCCCGTAACTCGTAACCTAAAATTTCTTTAAATTTGTTCACAAAAGAATATAAAATTTTATACAAGTTATAACATCACCAGAAATATTTTTTTTATTTTATTTTTTAAAAAAT